TGTCTTGGAGTGCACAATTGTGGTTGGATTCTGGATACCCCCCATGCACAATTATTAAAAGAGGTGGAATATCATGGCCTACTGTTTAGGCTTCTATTATAGGCAAAGCACCCTATTCCGGAATTCATAGCACTCCCCGGAGTGTTATTATATTAACAGCCCTATAATGTGTGAAAGTGCAGGATTGAGAGAGTACCATTGCAGGAGGTGTACACATGTGCGTGAAGGAGTATTGTCTAAGAATTACTTATTCGCTCCCACTGGTAACATTCCCAGAGTACTATTATGTGAATAGTGGGAATGTTTGCGGAGTATTGATATATTAGGGATAACGTTGTAGAATGAATACTACTGTACAAGGAGTACTATGATTTAAAGTGTATGAACATGCATGCCGTATCGTTATCCTTATCCGTCGTCCCTGGCAAGGATGGTAATGTATAAATGACACCATTGTAAGGAGTAGAGGAATATACTGGGTGTATTATTATAGGAAAAGTATGATGATATAAACAGTACACATGTGTCTAAAGTGTCAATGGTGATAGAAAGTACAGCTATTTGAACAATACTATTGTATGTGTCTACGGGTTATGGTGTTATTGTAGGGAGAGGCAAATCTTTTGGAACTAACAAACACCTAGTAACACATTCATTTGAAAGAAATTATTGTCCCTGCACTCATGTGATATGTAGAGAGAAGAGAAAATGAGAAGTGGCATTCTGTGGAGTGCAATGATATTCAAAATACAGTATAGTATGAGGGAGACAGATATTCTCAAAAACCGTCCTTTGAAAGATAAGGATTTTCCTACAATATGCCCATCGAAAATGGAAAAGTGTGTGAATTGCGGGCTATGTGTTCCAACTTTCGGTTCCTATTCTTTGGGCGACACCAGTCATTGATGAGTGTAGATCTCTATGAAATAGTATTATGTGAAGAATTGAGGGGTACATTCTAAAGAAAAGAGCAAGCCATTAATCACGCGCAGGTACAAGCGCTATAGTTCTGTCGAATGTATTATTGCCGGAGTAATACAATAGAAACAGAAATACTAGCATATGGACAATGCAAGGATTATAGCGGAAATGTTGCCTGTAATGTACAGTGTCGCAGGAATGCTTTTATGTGAAGGCCTAATAACATAGCGTTTTAGATACCACTAATTGGAGAACGTGACTAATTGAGGAATAATGATTTATGTGTAGTATTATTTAAAAACTATCGCTCCCCCCAGGACTACGGGCCTGTGGAATGTACAGTTAGCATACAGCAATATTATATGAACCATGCGTCTATACCTCCAGTATTATTTTGTGTACTGTATACCTGTCTCTTGAATATTATTCTGCACGAGATTCATATCTTACAGTTTTTTTATTTGGAGATTATTATTGGCTGAAGATAAGACATCTCGATGGGGAACCATGATATCAGGAACATAATCGTGCAGGTTCTATGAATGGGATACGTTTATAAGGAGAAGTTAGGACAACAAGTACTATTATTTGAAGAATAGAATGAGGCGGATGATATACACTTCCGTGGAAGACTAATATATAAGGTATACATTTTTCACGACCATTATTAAGTATGTGAGAAGGAGACATTTCTCTAGAGTATCACTGCCTAAACAGTAGGAAAATCCGGGAAGTCCCTATTGTGGAGTCGTCAAGATTTAAAGCAGGAGGCACCATAATTTAAAAAGAGATATTTAGTGAAAGATGATACAGTGGATTCAGCGGTATTCTTGGAGGGATTCCAATCACTAAGCGTTACAGATATATAGAAAATACGAGATGCCTCCGGTATATTTGTATTAACTGTAAGAATTAGCCTTACAACAACTGTTTAGAGGATAAGCTTCTGTCAAGGGTAATATTCTATGTATTAAAGTGTTGTGTGAGGAGGAAAA